ATTTGGCAAGCTTGTCCTAAAAGTATTGTTTTCTACTATTAACTTATTATTAAGCATAATATTTTATTCGTTTATTTTGCTCTTGTTTGTTATTAGATTTGTTTTTTTTTTTTTCAAAGTACACACTTGTTTGCCTAGATGCACTAAACATTCGTCTATTATTAATATTTGGTTTGATCTCCACGTATTTCTTATCTCACCGTAATTAGAATTCTTCAAATAAATTTATAATCGGTAAAAAAAACAATTTGCATACATACATACATAAAGAATCATCACAGAATGATCAGAGGTATTCAAATGCATACAAATTAGGGATGTTAATTTTTTCGATTCATTCAATTCATTATTTTCCAACAACTTAACATGAAGAAATTCCATCAATATAGTAACAAAACGAAAGGCAGAAATTAAAATGATACGAAATACTTTAGCGATAAAGTAACTTAAGGCATGTCGAAAAAAGCTCGATGCAAAAGAATCTTAAGTCAACATATCGCACACCGTTTTCAAAAGAGAAAAGAAAGAAGTTCATAAAACTAGTGGCAGAAAGAAAAGAAACATCTTTTTTTAACCAGTTTAGTCTATATTTCTCTTGTTTATTTATTATTTAATTTTTTTATAAAAGTCTACCTCGTTTGACTTATAATTAACTGCATTTAAATGCGCATTTCAAAATTTAAAAAAAAATTATAAAAATGCAAAAAAATTTCCCAACATTTAAAATTTTTTACTCAGCATTTTTAGAAAAATTTGAGGTACGCAGTTTTATAGCCCATTAAATTAAAGTAGGATAAAATGCAAATTTCATGCAGTTACAAAATACCGTTGATTTTTGGCAATTTTTTAAAACGATGCTGGACATTTTCTTCCATATAAACAAATTGTCGAACATACTTTGTATGGAAGCAAATGCGTGACACCGCGAGCAAAAAAATTATAAAAAATCAACGTTACTTTTAGTCACTTGAAACTCGCACTTTATACTTCTATAATTTTTAATGGCTACACTTATAAAATTGCGTACCTAGAATTTTTCGAAAACTCGGAGTAAAAAGATTGACACAAGTTGAAACAAAAAAATTTCAAAACACCCCAAACAATCAATATACTCACGATACTATGGGCCAAATATAGTAAAACTGCGTTTTTAGTTTTAGAAATTTTTTTTTATTAGAACTTTATAATTTCGAAGATAAGTTAAATTCTAAAAATTATTTAAAAAATTCCGTACAACGTAGAAAAAAAATGGGTACCAAATGAAAGAGAAAATTTTATAGGATTTAAAAAAATTAAAATTTCTTGGGTTCACAATTACGAATATGTACTGAAAATGCTTTTTTAATCAATTTTATTTTTTCAAGCTAATAAAGTTAGAAGGACTATAGTCGAGGACGTTGTCGAGTTTATATTAGTCCTCTATATATAATTTTTTCAAAATGAATATTTCAAACTTTCAAGCATATTCAAGGATAAAATTTTTAAGGACATTTTCAATACGTTAGGCACCAAAAAATTTAATTTGTTCTTTTTCTACAGACTTTCCTCTTTAATTTGATACCCATACTCTTTTTCTAAGTACATTGTACTAAATTTTTTAAACCATTTCCTGATTATTATTCAATTTTCAAAGTTCATTTAAAAAATCCTGACGTCAGCGAGAAAAGCTAAAAACGCAATTTTACTGCATACATTTGGCCCATGGCTCCGCGAATATATTGATTTTTTTGTGTGTAAAATTGCCTATCGCACGGTGTTAAGTGTATGTATAATTAGCTAACATTTATAAAAAAATATTAGCTATTAAATGAATAAAAAAAATATAGCAAAAACTGGTCGACATAAAGCGTTTCTATCACTGCCACCATTGCAAATTCGAAATCGCGAATTATAATTTTTGTTATAATTTTTGGAAATTTTGTCTCGTTGTTTCCGAGAACCTTACTCGGTTTTCATAAGTGAACTAAGAACATCAAACAAGGCCGTTTAAGAGAGAAACAAAACACTGGGATTGGCGATCGATTTTTCAATAAAATCGAATGTAGTTTACATGCGAATTGCTTTAAAGTGAGCGCCTGTGCCCTAGAACACTGGTTTCGATGGATATAAAAAATTAAAATGCATATAATTTCTATTACAGCAAATATGCAATGAATATGCAAGTAGCAAACACTACAGTAAACAATTAAAGATAATTAAATGCGAAAATTGTGAGAACTCAACGATTTAATATTGTATTCAAATTTTAAAATAAGCTGCATATATATGGGAGAAGTCTGAGAATAGATATGTAAGTTATAACTAATTATGTAACTTATATGAGACTTAATTTTATTCAGCTTAATCTTATTTTACTTTCTATGTGATAATTAATTTAGTTAGTACTATTACAACTTGAAGAACTGAGTATAGACTATTTGCATAAGTGGAAGAATAGATAGTGAATTCCTGCTTTAGAATTTCAGGTGCACTTCTATAATGAAAATTGAAATATGCACGTACTTTTGTTTTTCAATCCTTAAGGACACCGTTGTGAATAATTACAAAGTTCTTACTGCGATCAGTTAAAACAAGCACATACCTGAAAACAGTGCTGCCTACGGCTATGCCGAAGACTTCGCAACCTGCATGGACATCAGAAAATTTAACTTCAATCCATTATTGTATTTTTAAGGAATTCTTTGGTAGCTCACACTATTCTATATAAACTGACAATATGAGCTTTTTATTTATGATATAGGGAAACAACCTCTTGACTATAACTACATGTATGGAGGAGTTACATCGTAAAAAGTTATCTATATCTGAACAATTAATGGTATAGAAAATAAACCTTATAGAGCACCGATCTTGCAAATTTTCTCAGTAGACTTTATATGATGAACTGGTAAATGGCTAGGGAAAATTAAGTAGCTTTAAAGAAAAACGTCAAATATGAATAATCTCTCATATGGGAGATATATATTGTAGTGATCCGAATACCCCTTCTTATCATATTTCGGATATCTCGAAAACTGAGGGACTAGTTTGCGGCGGACATGTGTGGCTACATCGATTCAGCTCGACGTTCGGATAATTTTGGCATACTTTTTATGGGTCTTTCTCTTTTTCTTCTGGTACTTACAAACATCGTACCCAAGTCATGTTCATGGAAGGTATAAAAACCCTATAAAAAGCCAAGTTTTTTACTAAATTTGCAGCTAAAGAAACTGCGCGTAAGGGTTTAGACGCGTTACTTATTCTGAATTTGCTGAATTACTAAAACATTTAGGAACTCAATTGCAAATAGGAATACGGAATGATACTCCCTTTGACGAGATTTCTTAATAGGGCATTTCCACCAAGCCTTAGCTGCAGTTTATGCCCATTGGAAAAACGAGATTATCACTCGAACGGGGTAATTGGTCATATTAAGTACAAGCACTTATCTGAGCTCTTAACTACAGTTAAGCTTTTGGTGGAAATAGGCTATAAGTATTCCCCGGAATACTTTTAACTTCAACCATCCGATTTATGGATAGTTAAGCAGGTAGCTCCAATCCATTTATCTCAAAACAGCTTCGAAAGCATGAAAATCACAGGCGTACTAATCGGAATTTTACATCTGCAGATCTAGTTGCCCGATCGGAGAAGGCAAAACTCTTGGGCAGTAAGAAAAGCGGCAAAACGAATGCAGAGGTTCAATCCTTCCAGTTATCGTATTAACTTTTATATTTATATTCTGGCAGCCATCGCGTTCACATTTTAGAGGTTCTATATTGTAAAGAGGTTGCATAAAGGCTGGCTATAAATTAAACTTTACAGGGTATCAGGATTTAAAGGCATGAAAGGTAACGATACAGCCGACGAACTGACCTAACAGCGCATCCATTTATATGCTGATCTGGCTATGAACGTTGCATTTTCCTTATAATAAATGAAGTGATCACGCGAACTGTGTATGTATGTATCGGTAAGCAGAAGTAGGGCATGCGGTCGTATATCGACAAGGGGTTAAAAAGTGTATTACAGATCAGCAAAAGGACGGATATTTGTTTAATCATTGTCTCAGGTTCGTGAGTGCAGTACCCGACACACATTTCGTGTTTGGTCAATATGTGTGGCCTTATGGGTTAGCCAGCTCTACCAAAGCTAACTGATCTATGGTTTTTGTGTGCGATCATTAAACTTATATCCGCACATAGTATGTACGTTCTTAAGTTAGCATAAGCTGTAAAAAATTCAATTCTATTAATACATATTAATATGCCTAAAATGCTTTCTTCATATTATTTCGGAATTTATTTGATGGCGACTGAAATTGTTTCCACTGTTTACTTAAGCAAAATAAACAATAACGCAAGTAATGCGCATTAGTATATAAATATTAAAAAAAAACAAAAGAAAAAAAAAACAACACACACCTGCTTACTGAGTGCGCCAAAGTTGTATTTTCGAAATGTATTGGAGCGATATGGAAGTATGTAAGATTTGGCTACGCTTAAAATTAACCAGTTTTGTGAAGGCCTTTTAAGTCAGAGACTTCAGGACTGGATAAAAATTGCAGTGCTGCTTCTTGACAAAATAATAAAAATAAAAAAATAATCGACAAGCAATTAAAATACTGAATAATGAAATGCTTATATACATATATAACTATATACACACATATATACATGAGTAAATACATTTGAACATTTGTAATTTAAAAGTCAATTCTGCGTTTTCAGACACAAAAATTGTGGCTTAACCACTTTGTGTGAGAATACTCGGCTATTCGGTACAGTTGCGAAGGAAATAATACAGAATATGCCTATATATGCATGCATGTACGTAAATAAATGTTAAAAATAAAATTCAGAATCCAAAAAAGTATGTAACTAATTCGTAGCCAATATCGAAAACGAACATTTGAAGCCACAATAAAAAAAAAACAAAAAAAGGCGAAGCCTATTGTTCGCAATTTCGTAAGCACTTAACGGAGTTTATGTAATTTTTGCAATTACTAGCTATTAGCTCACCTTCTTGGCACTCAATATCGTTTTAAACCGTTGTATTTAAATTTTTGTGTTTTACTAAAATATTTTGCGTGGGGTTATTGGTTGAAGACTGTCTGTTGCTAAACTTATTTTTTTTTTTTACGCGTGCGCCTTAACTTTTCCGACGGTGTACAACACAAAACTGAACTGTTCGACTGCGAAAAGCAAACTGTTTATAAACTGTTTTTGTTCACAACTGTGTCGATCGGTGGGTAGCCAGCCGCCTACCCTCACCATTTATCGCCGCCTGGGACCTTCCAAGTGAGTGATGCAACGTGAGAATTTGCTCACTTAAGCAATCTTTGTGCAAGTAGTTAAGCAAACACTACATATATACATACATACATACATATGTATATAACTGTGCTCCAGTAGGAAGTGTAGGTGTTGTGCTGTGCTGCTCTCAATGCTGGATGCCTTCGGTGCCAATATGAAAATCCATATCACTCATATTCCAATTGAAGTGGTCAGCAAAAATTATCAGCGAGATTAAATTGTTGCTAGTGAGTGCAGCTGAGAAGCATAGAGAGCTTGTTGGTCGTCCAACGAGTAGCCAATTACCGGCTGCTCCCATCTCAAATTGATCGTTCTTTGGAGTAGTGCAATTAATATTAACCACTTGCAGTTGCAATTTGGTATGCCAATACTTAATCAGTGAGCGTAAACGTCTTTTACAAAATTTATTACAAGCTCAGTAGGAATGTAAAATGGAAAAGATAATAATAAATGGTTGGCGTTTTATTTGTTATATGGAGAGTAAATTCTTAAATTTGTATGGCTATATATGTGCACATACATATATTTATGCATATTGGCATGAAATTAGCATTAGTTATTATGGCACTTTTTTTCCATTTCGAGAAAATATTTGAATAATGGTTAAACGATCGCTAAAACAATATTTTTAACAAGTATGTTTGTATGTATGTATGTATGTATGTATGTTCATGTAATTTGGCTTGAATAGTATTCGAGTCGATACTTCAAAAGAGCTTTAATCTGAAATTGCAAATTTTAACTGCACTTATTTTGAGTGATACTTAAAATATTTACTATTCATTGCTAATTCCAACCCAAAGAAGGACTTCTTCATCCAGCGCGTACCGCATTGCCTGGAACTTAGTGCAGGAGCGTTCGTCGTACTTAATTCGTACGACAAGACCAAGCCAGCGGAGGCGGTGTATTTCCAATCAATGCACTTTGTCTATTGCCTTGTAAATCTCATACAGCCTTGCCGATGCATAACAGGTCTTATAACTTCTGCAGAAATTTTCTCCAAAAAACTCAACGGGTTGGCTGGTCGTGTCTGCTTCTGCTGCATACGCTTGCAAGAAATGTTAGGCGTGATAGAGTAAATTTTGTATGACGAGATCAGACTTTGCTTTTCAATTACCTACTGAGTCCAAAATATAAGCTATTGACAAGAGTGATTTTCCTTTAGTATTACTGTTAAAAGTACCGCGTGTGCCGACCCCCGAGTGGTCTGACTGTTTGCTTGGGAGCAGCATATACTCTGTCTTGTCCTTCTTCAACTCCGCAGTGCTTGCTATATTGCTATACTTGTGGAATGAAATGTCATAGAATTCTGCTTCAATTTCTACTTAAAAATACTGCACCGGATCTGCTGATGCCAAGTTTAGAGCAGTCTGCAGGAGATTCTTGCTCCGAAGAATAAGCGAAGCTAAGGTACGGTGCAACGTATTGTGTTTGCCCTATGCTATTCATCCTGCCAGTAAGCATTGAGTTTCGTTGCGGTTAATAGAGCAATCTACCTGGCCACTGCCTGGGGATGTCATATATTTCGTACTCTGCTTCTCTTGCTGGGTTACTCAGCTCCAAGCTTAAAATTAGTCCAGTCCAGAACACGAACAGGAATACGTTGATGAATATAAAAAGCATTACCATTATAACTACCATTACCATTCCCATCACAATTAGCGTTGCCATTAAGCATTGGCATTACCATTACCAATACCGTTGCACTACCATTATCGTAACCATTACAATTATTGTGTCCTGCGATGACAGATACGAATACGAAAATTAATACTAACACCCCTATTGTGAGTGTCGACTAGTAGATAGTAGATAAACGACTGTTAGTCGATTATTGATTATCCGTGGTATTTCCAAAGTGGTTTTCTCATTCAATAAGTGAGTGAGAATAGTTTACAGTCGCTCATCTTTCTACAAAAATAAAAGGAAGAAGGATGAGCGATTAAAAACTATTCGCAGTCGCTTTTTTTGGTTTTGGTTTTTTGGCACATAAATAAATAAAGAAAAAATGGGTATTTTTATTTGTTAACAAGCACAATTATCTGTAGGCCCAATAAACACTTTGTTTTAGCGGTTTAGAACCAAAAGGCCTGTGGTATGTCATTTGAGTAGGATTCTAGGGCTCGTGAAGAAATATTTGTTGTCATGCGCTCTTTCTTCCGACACTGGAGGCTTTGTTTACACAGCTTGGATAAAAAACACTTCCTTCGTTTAGTAAAAACCAAACAATGGCAAAGTTATGCAACTCGTTTAAGGTACACAGTGCACCTCAACGTGTTTAAATGAACCGCATGTTTTTAGGGCGATTATTATGTATTTTTTTACTATAAGTTACATGTTTTATCATGCCTAGAACACACATAAATGTATGTATGTTCATTAGGGTGGTCCTTAAAAATGAAATGAACGCAACCGTGAGCGCTTAAAATGGTTAAGCCGTGTCGCACAGGAGGCAAAATAAAGATTCTTCTATAGAGACTCAAAAAATTAAAATTCATATTTTTTAACCTATAACCAAAATCAATACAGGGGCAAAGTTCAGATTCCTCTATGGAGACTTGAAAAATTTATATTAACTTTTTTTTTCATTTAACCCTTGGAGGTTCAGCGATTTTTTGTCGCCAACTGGTACAACTAGGTCTGCGCAGACCGACATGAGATTTGTATGGGAATACAAAGGCAGGTGTCCCAAAAGTTTGTGTAAATGTGTTTAATGCTAGTAAAAAGCCAGGGTGAACAATAAAACCATATTTTTATATTTTCTAGGTAACAATATACCCTATTTTATTTATAATAAGTAAGAAAACAAAGGTTAGGCACGACATTACACGCACGCGTACTTGGCATGTGAATGCTGTTGACACACTGGTTTTTTGCAATACATGCAATGAAATCTAGTTTTTCGCTGCTTTTTATCCAATTTATAGCAGAGCGAGCACGATGGTCGAGTTGCAGAGGAAACGGCATGGACTGGTTGATCATCTATCGGTGGGCCTGCAGCTACCTTGCGAAAAAAACGTTGAACAAATGATTTTAGAACTTGAATTCAATGAATAAATACATATATGAAATGCGTACCTCTACACCGAATAACACCATTGCCACTTTGAGGTGTTGAATACCTCGTACAATTGGATTCGTTGCTCTTTGCTCCATGTGAGGAACCACCAGCTGTTCTGCCAATTCCATGAGGAATACACGTCTTCGGTCGGTCCTCTTGACATGCCCGAATTTGTCATGAATGGCAAATGCAGTCAAGCCCGCCACGTCCAGCATGTTATAGAACAGAGCTAACGGTCACCAGTTTGTGCCCCGTTTGCACGTGTAACCGCTAACCATCTGATCCATGGTGTCAAGAATTTGAAATGGCTTCTTCGATGGCTTCGATGAGTCGACGGCGGAATTGTAATATTCGGTCGACATGAGAACCACAACTTTTTTCTTTTTTGGTACTTATGAGCATAGCGCGATGTTATTATTGTGGTAACCGAATACTGTACTGAATACATCTCGTTTTGGATCCAACATCTCCTTCGGTATGCAGGCTTTGTTTTTGCGCATTGTTCCTACATATGCCAACCGAAACATATAGACGTTCCAAGTTGCTCATGAGCATGTTCCAAATGTCGTCAATGGCTACAGGTTTGCTTTCTAATAGTCGAGCAGGTCTTGTGTTGCCGTTATCGAATCAAATATATTGTAGAAAAATTTTATATCGGTATGCAGACAACGTCGCCCAGTAGATAGCGTTTCCGTTGTTGGTCCACAACTGAAGAGCAGGCTGACTCTTTGACCCGAATATGCCGGCAAACAAAGTTAGGCCAAAAAAGGCGTATATTTCATTTTGGGTCACAGGTTTCGTCCACGTTCGCGGTGGCTGGTCAGGATTCTTGGCACACCATAGGCGGCATAGTTCCTGGGCCTTTCGGTTCGTTTGGTGCACAATTATACTAAAGATTTCCGGTAATATTAGCGATTTAAATATTGAAACCGGGGATCGCATAATCCCTGGAGCCGGGCCTTCGCGACCCACAATAGCGCAGTTATGCTCACGAAGTCTACCTGTGCACGGCGGAGCGCTTGACCAAAGCTTGCCATCCTTTGAACGGTATTTAATAATCGAGTTCGCCGAACGAGGCTCCTCGTCCATATCGACGGCTTCAAGCGCTTCGGGTGTAGCTGCAGTGCCTTCATATAAATATTCCAAATCCTCATCATCGTCACATGGAGTCTCGGTTTCTATAACGGTCTCAGTCTCAGCATCGGAAGCTGCATCTTCTAACGTCGGCACATAATCAGGATCCGGGACGTCGTCGACTTCGAATGCATTTATTTCCTCGGCTTCTCCATCAGCACCGGCCAACTATATTGCTAACCTTTTGTCCATTTGCCTCCTCTCTTCTTCCGATAAATTTTGATATCTTGTGGTGCGATTCACCACGTAC